TTTTATTTGCTCTTTCTTATAAAAAATTTTAATTTGCTCTAATGGAAATGAAATAGGCCTTTTTTGAAAATCAATTTAGGTGGCATCTATAGTCCGGGTTAAGAAGTCCCAGAAAATTGCGAACTATGACATGAAAACATTTGGAAAGAATCGCTACGATTTGGACAAGCATTAATTATTATAGATGATGGTAATTTTTGGCATTAAAAATTGTTTTTATAAAAAATACAAAATTTAAATTTTTATTTTCTTTTTAGTAAAATATTATTCTAGAGATTTTATAATTTATCAGGAGTCTACTACAAAAAGGATTGGCCATATTTTATCAATAGTTCAAAAGAATGGCAGTCTCAATATTAATATTCAACGTATTTTAACATTTGAAAAGTTGCCAAGAAAACTTCAAAGTAATAGTCGCAGAGAAAGATCAAGAAGAGGTGAAGTATGGATGCTAGATAGAGAAATAGATAATGCGATTATAATTACTAAATTACAAGCAATCATTAAACATATTAAAGTTACAATTTTGTATGATAATAATATAATGGAAGATATTTTAATTGTTATCCGTGAGATTTTATATAAACATAATAATAAATGGAAGTTAAGAAATATCACTTATTCTTACAAACATCCTTCAGAGTTTGCCACTTTAAAGGAACCTACTACAAACCTGCCAATTTATAAGTTATATATAGACCTTTACTATGACGATTTTGGGACATTTCGCAACATCTATCACTCACTGGGAGGTGTCTATATTCAAATTGGAAACATGCCGTTTGACCAAAGAAAAAAACTCAAGAATCATTTTGTGCTTGGGTTTGTACCATTTGGTGGTTCCTTTAATGAATTTATTCATCCTTTTATAACTGAGATGAGAGAATTAGAACAAGAAAAAATAATAAATATACAAGGCACTTTAAGTTTTGTAATTGCAAGTCTTGGAGATATCACTTCTGATTTACTATAAGGAAATTTCATAGTTGGGGTTAAAAAACATAATTCTAAAAGAGGCTGTCGTACTTGCAATATAGTGAGAAATTCTTGGACATCTGATAATGTTGATTTATTGTTAAATTCCTTCTATTAGCATTTTACAAATAAACAATATAATAAGATTTCCATAACATCGACGATAACAAAGCGTAAAGAAATTGCTACAGAATATGGATTACATTTGCATTCTCCAATTCTTAATAAATTGCAGTGGGAAAGTCATTTTCAGTCACCGCAAGATGTATATCATATGACAGCAGGCAAAGTTTTGAGGCTTCTTAAATTGACAATTGATGCACTTTTAACAGAAGGAAGGTCTGCATTTATTGTAATTTGGAAATCGTTTGAATATCCTAAAAATTGGCAAAAATTACCAAATCCGATTTCACATATTGATAGTTTCATGATGTCTGATTGCTTAAGATTAGCGATGATGTTTCCCTTTATTCTTAATAGATTATTAAAACCTCAACATTTTAAACAAACTGAAATTTACAAAATGCAACAATGATTAGGTCTTTCACGTTGTGATTTGACTATAAAAGTCTGACTAAAATGCTGGATAATTGTATCAAAAACAATGACAATCTCATTTAAAAAAAATTTTACAGAAGAAAATTACGTTGAGTTGCAGGAATGCCTAGATAATAAGCGAAAAATCTTAGTACAGGTATTTAACTAATTATAATTATCTGTACTTTAACAATTATATATTTATTTATTCTTGTTATTGTTAAAAAAAAAGTCATTTAAAGACTTCGAAAATCTTCCTAATTTGCATATCAATTTTCACATGGCTTAACATGCCAGAAATTATACAAACTTGTTGAATGTCAGTGTAGGAACCAAGGAAATGGTTCACAGAATATTTAAAAACATTGTGACACAAACAAACTGAAAAAATGTGAACTTAGATTTACTAAAACACTATAATACCTTATTTGCAATGTGTCATTTGTTAGAAGGTGGAATAGATATACGCTTTTCATCATCAAAAAATACTTTAACAAGCCTTCCACAGCATTTACGGCATCTAATGAATAACTAGTTTATTTTTGATGAACCTGATAATCTCAGGAATGACATAAATGAAGGTACGTGCGATTAGTAACTTAAATAAGACATTGATTTTTATTTAAATACTGTAGTTAATAACATTTATATATAGTTTATTCACTAGATAAATATATTAAAATTTCATTAAAAAAACAAATCCTACGGAGAAATATTAAAGAGTCAATACTATCAGATTTTAAGGAACAAATTGAATTATTACTTTATAATTCAAGATATTTATCTGTGGATTTAAGTAGAGCGCCATCATTTTTTAAATATGCAAGTTTCTTTATCGAAAAAAATAATAATCCTATTCAATGCTGTTTATATGTTGGAGACTTTATCTCTATTAATTTTAATGAAGATGAAATTTTTTCAATTGTACATGCAATATTTGGATATAAAAAGAATGGATATTACTTTGCCTTTATCATCATTGATTTGTTTAAATACACAAAACAAATAAAGCTAGAATGTCCAGTCTACAAATTACGAACAAATAATTTGCGAAGAATATTTTCTGTTAGCATGGTTAATATAACTAAAGCGGTACATTTTGTTCATAATCATAAAGATGATCAATGTGTTGGAAGAAATCATTACTTTGCAAATGATTTGTATATAAGAAATTTAAATTTTTTTAAAGTTATTTGAGGGCTTTATTAACATTTATTTTATATACATATCATTTAGTATTTATGCATATTTATGTATATTTATTTATTAGTCATCATAAGATTATGATTTCATTGCTAATATTGTGTAATCTAAAAAGTGCTTTCTCTATTCAAGTATTGTACGTAACACTGTTGAACCCATGCGAGTTACTTTATTCAATATATATATATCGCTCTTTATATATAAATATGATTTATGTAAAGTTGGGGACATATATTTAAAGACGCAATTTTATGAACAATAATTACACAAGTGGAACTATGTACGTACCTATAACAACTATTAAGTATTCAAAAATTTTCACGTGACGATCGATAGCAAATTAGCCAATAGCAGATTATAATTTTGTGTAATGTATTGCCATCTGGAAATCGTTTATAAACCACATTTTTGAATTCTTTATGCAGTATTTCTTTCATATTCAAAAGGCTTTTTTGCTAGTAAATAAGGAAATATATAAAGTTTATCCAGTTTATACTTTGACAAATCTTCATAATTTCGCCTTTACACATATAATATTGACTACTTCTACCGTCAATTTTGGCATTGGTAAATATTAGCTTTGAAAGAAATTTATATATATATATCGAATGACGATAGCTAGAAATTTATATTATTCACTAATTAGGAAGGTTGTGCTTAAGATACGGATCGGGTTACGGCAGCACCCCAAAAGTTGGCTTGAGATACGAACCCGGTGGCGGCAGTACAACAGGTAC